CAAGGCCATTTTAGGCTGGACATAAGGAAAAACTTCTTTACTATCCAAGTTGCCAAGACCTGGAATAGACTTCCTCCAGAGGCGGTGCAAGCACCTACTCTGGACTCCTTTAAGAAGGGATCCTTTGACCCTAGCTGACTTCCTGCCCTTGGGGCAGGGGGCTGGACTCTATGATCTTCCGAGGTCCCTTCCAGCCCTAATGTCTATGAAATCAATTAAATGAGTTCTGCTCAGTTGAATTTTGAAATTTGACTATTGGGCTTTCCCCAGCTGAATTTGGAACTGATTTGGCCTTGATAGAGATTGGGGGGAAAAAAAAAAATAAAAAATTCTCATCAACATGTTTGCCTAATACGGATCATGTGTTTTGCAAGCCCGTTCAGTGCTAGCTGCATTTAATCAGCTTCATAGTTGGCTTCCATTCCTGAGCACACATTGCTTCTGGCAGCAGTTTAATGATAGATGATGTATTTAATAATGTTTTCTCGTGTGCAAATATATGATAAGGGGTTTTCTTTTCCCCATGCTGAGTGAGGGGGAAAAAATCATTTAATATTTGAGTAAACATGGTAGCATTTTGTTACAGTGTTTTGGACTTGGTAAGAGAAGAGGCTTTCAACTGACTCTTATTAGAGAATAACGGGCAATACGTAACTCGTAACACAACTAAAGAAACTCTCCTTGTAGTGCAAGCTCAACTTCCAAAACTTTGAAGGGAAAGAATGTAGTTCAGCCATTTATCAAATACTATATGAGCTTGAGTTAGTTCAATGATCTCTTGAAAGTTGTAATAAAGAACTAAAACGGCAAAATGCTGAGTTGCAATTCTCCTGTGAATTACTCACACTATATAACTTGCATTCTGTTACTTCTCCCCTAACTCTTCCATACTTTTAAGTGCATCTGGCACTCAAACATATTAAATCATTCATTCAATTAAAACTGGAAACGTTAGACACTTTGGGCATTTTTATATGTGCTCTGGTGGTGAGGTGTGGGGGCGCTTTTATTAAAAGTGCCCACAGCATCTTTTGTATTGGTGTCCCCATGCTTCAAAAAGTCAGCAGGGGCGCTTTTTTGTATGAGCTTTAGTTAAAGTGCCCCATCACCATTTTGAAGCACGGGAACACTGACACATGAGTCGCAGAGGCTGCTGGCGCATGCTAAATTAGCATGCGCCAGCAGGCTTGATTAATTAAGTCTGCTCTGATTTGCTACAATTACAGTGCATCAGAACAGCTTCCCCACACGTCTACAGGTACTCTTTCATTTTGCTTTTGATCCTCCCACAGCTTTTTGGTTCTGCTAAGAATTTGATCTTGCAATTACTGACATTCTCAGTTCATTGAAATGCCAAGGACTTAGCAGAACTTGGTACCTATGAACATTCGGCTACTTTTTTAGCTATCTCAATATAGTTAAATGCTTTGCTTTGATCACCTACACTTGATAAGCAGTCTGTGTAAGCAGCTCTTTTCAAATGCAGGCTTCTCTTTATTAGTTGTTTCAACTCTCCCATGATTCTAGAACACATGAAAACAGAAATATGTAATTGCTTGATTTTTAAATGTTACTTGTCACTGCAAATCATTGGAAAAGTTCATAATTGTTACATGGCATAGTTTTTTCAGTTGTATAAACATTCAGAGAATCAAGATGTGCTGTTCAGACACATTTTCTATGGCTTCAAAAATAAAATGACTAATAGTGAAATTCCTCACAATGCATCCAGGGGGATCAGGGATGAAAAACTATTCCTTGGTTTATTTAAATATGTTGAGGACTACCACTCCCTCCATGGTCAAGTCCTTAGAGCAGAGGAATGGGAACTAGGACTCTGTATTTGGATTCAGGTTCTCCCAACAGACTGGATTACCTTGATGAGGCAAGCAGTCCCTCTGCCCTTCCAGGCACCTTCCACAAAACAGCCAAGGCCTATGTCAAGATTTTGGAAATAATTGATGCCTTTTGTGCAGTATGATATTTTGCTCTACAAGCAGAATATATTAAGAAAGCGTTGTTAAATTAATGATTGTGAAATCCACATTTTAAAGGGATATATATGTAAATGAAGCAGAGGTAGAATTTGTTCAGTACTTTCTGGTGAAACAAGACCTTTCCAAAGAAGCAACTTATTCAGCAGCAGCAGGCTTGCTATGTCAGAAATGCAGGATTTACTGTGATACCCGTTTCCAATAATGTGACTCTAAGGCAGAGGGTGTCAAACATACAACCTGCAGACTGAATCCAGCTTGTGGAGTCCTATGCTTTGGTCCATGGGTCTCAGACCA